AATAATAATAATAATAATAATAATAATAATAATAATAATAATAATTCATTGTAAAATATCGTTATCTCTTATCATTATTATTACTTCATTGACTCTTTTTGTTTTAACCAACAACGATGCTTATATTTAAGTCACCATGCAAGAACAGAAAAGGAATCCGCTTAACACATAGCTCACGTGCCAGCCTAGGACATTAACGTGTTTGGGCGTAGGTTCGTATAAATAATAAATATGGTATTGCACTGTGACAATGATTGCGAGGAGGGAGAAAAGGAGGAGAGGTGGATAATGGCGGGTAAACTGCCGAGGAGGGGGTGAAAAGGCATCTTATTATCTAGAGAGAGAGGGGTGAGGCAGAGAGGTAGGGAGAGACAGAGACAGACAGAGAGAGAGAGAGAGAGGAAGACAGAGAGGAGAGAGAGAGAGACAGAAAGAAGAGACAGAGGTTAAGAGGGGGAGGGAGAGAAGGGGGAAAAGAGAGAACATAGGGATGGGGGAGAGAGAGAAAGAGGAGAGAGGGGGAGAGAGAGAAAGAGAGAGATAGGGATAGAGAGATGTGAGAAAGAGAGAGAGAAAGAAAGAGGGAGGGGATGGAGTCCGCGTACTCAGGGAGTGAGGATGATTATGACAGTGATCGTCAACATATTTTCTACACTCTCCATTCCTAAAACGCTTTACAAAGCTACAAAGATAAACCTACCCACCCTCAACTATGGATGCAACTGTAATGTGATTTTAGATGTTTTACGCCCCTATCAATCCTAAGTGTCTAGCTTATTTAGGAGGCGGGCTTCTCCGCTCATGCCTGACAGCCCCCCACCCCCTTCTCTGGCCCTCTGGGCCATAGATGTACACTATATGCACGTTTAAAAGGGGGTAACTCTGGGCCAAGAGGGAATACCCCAACTGTAACGCGATACGGCTTAACACTACGCTCATGATCAAACATTGCTTCATGTTTTAACGACGTGTATAAATTCCCGAAAACAACAATAGACGACGACAACAACAACAACAGTAGCAGCATCAGCAGCAGCAACAGCAGCAGCAACAG